CACGTGCCATGTGAAAGACCTAGATTGCCGTCAACTTATTGTCCAAAAAAAGGGATCTGACGTGGGCGCTCGGTCCCAGCTTGGGGGCGGGTAGGGCGCGACAAACGATCCACTTTGAGCCTAGTCCAATTATAAGTATTTTTTTATAATATACAAGTTTAGGTGCCTAGATAAACGTGCAAAACACATTTATCATGATTTTTTGGAACGTATTTCCTCATTTATTTTTTTGAATATCTGAACCATAAAGTCGGACCATCGCTTCCAATCACTCAATTTTCTCACGTATTCTCCAAGAGTAACTATGTTGGTGGCCGATGAACGCCTTATTTTGACTAAGATAAACTAGATATAAAGATTTTGTACTGGAACAAGATACAAACTACAAAGATATAGTGTGCATCCTCTGAAACCATAGTAACTCTAGTACCATATCTTAAGCCAAATTTCTGCTCCTCCTATCAAGTTCCTTGCCCTGCTCCAACTCCCAATAGCCCAAGAATTCCTCTGCAATACCCTGTATTCCATCACAAGAGAAATATGGAACGAGTCCGTTTCAAGTTGCATAAATGTGCATTTGCAATTCGGTCTTATAAATCTAATTGAAGAGTTTTGCTTGCTTTCATAAAAAAGAAAGACATATTCAAGTATGAAGTATGTGAGTACCCTTGGTTTGACACCTAAAGCTAAACACTAATGCATCGTTGAGAGTAGGCGAAGTATTATACAAACAAAGGGATATCATTAGAGACCATTTCGAAGCACTGGTGGTTGAGCAAAATAACCAAGTTTTCGACCATCTTAAGGTGGAAGATATTGAGGTTGCTGCCATACGAGATGGCCCGGTTTTTGCTGAGGAAAATCGCTATCATGTGGAGGCTGTAAGATGTGACTTGGTCTATGAAATTCGAATGTGTGGTTGAAAATTAGTTTTATTTTATATAGTGATATGATGAGAAATATGTGGTTAAAAAATAAGGAAAAATTATTGATGTGATAGAAAATATTATTTTATTGAAAAATGTGTGGTTGAAAATTAGTTTTAAAAAAAATGAATTTTTCAATAACGAGGTTCAAAAAGAGGCTTAATATGATAGCATAACTCATAATTGTGATTTTTGTTACTTTATTTCCTCCTAGATAAAGTTTAGCATCCTTCATTTCTCCAGTTTTCAATATTACTAGTTGGACGGATAGAATTTAATTTTATTTGTCAACTATATTTCATGACGATATGAACTAATGAAATTATCGAATAGTTAGCTCATGATAATATCAACTTCAGCTGACGTATTGTAATACAACATACTAATTTCGAGATTAAGAAAAGAAAATATCTTGTTGAAAATTGTACAATCGTGTTACACGTACATTTTTTTTAACATTATTTTTTATGTTGTGTCATATCACGATACATGATTGATCAATCACTTCAAAAATATTTTAACAATCATACTATGTGTACAGAAAAATGTTGTCAATACATTGATAGTTTTTTATTGGGCAGTGAAAAAAAAAATTCTGGCGGCTTTATACATATAAATTCATATTTTAAAGTGCGATTTCTACAAACCAGAAAATAAAATAAAATGAAAGCAGAATTTGGTAGACAGAGATGAGAGAACAATGAAAGAGAGAGAATCCCAACGCAAAAATAAAAGTTGATTTCAATAATGGCCATTCAACTTTGTATTTAATTTCACTCTGACCGTTAAACTTTAACTTGTCAAGTCATTGGAATGACAAAATTTTCCACCCCACTCCAACCTACCTCTCTCCCCCACCATTGGTCTCTCTTATGAGTATTCATATTAATTAAAGGCTCTGATACCAACTTTTCGGGGCTGGGTGTGCGGATTATGTAAAACAAAATTATTCATGACAATGGATGCAAACTGGAATACAAGTATCACATATAATTCAAAAGAAATTTGCAAAATTTAAACCTTCTTACTGTATGTGAAGATTGGGTTCGTTCTCTTGCGCTTCTGTCTTATTATGCTGTCCTTGCCTCACTAAGGCGGATCTGGTTTTGTTTCCCTAATGGCCTTCTGCCTAATGGTACTCCTTCAAAGCCCTATTTTGAGAGAAATAATGCATTTTAGAATAGTTGCTTGATTTAGAATGAGTAATTAAAAATTAAGAAAAAATTTTGAATTTGTGTATAATATTATTTTATTGAAAAATGTGTGGTTGAAAATTAGTTTTTAAAAAAATGAATTTTTAAAGAACGAGGTTCAAATAGAGGCTTAATATGATAGCATAACTGATAATTGTGATTTTTGTTACTTTATTTCCTCCTAGATAAAGTTTAGCATCCTTCATTTCTCCAGTTTTCAATATTACTAGTTGGATTGATAGAATTCAATTTTATTTGTCAACTATATTTCATGACAATATGAACTAATGAAATTATCGAATAGTTAGCTCATGATAATATCAACTTCAGCTGACGTATTGTAATACAACATACTAATTTCTAGATTAAGAAAAGAAAATATCTTGTTGAAAATTGTATCTCAAATGTCAAATAAATCAGATACAATCGTGTTACACGTACATTTTTTTTAACATTATTTTTTATGTTGTGTCATATGATGATACATGATTGATCAATCACTTCAAAAATATTTTAACAATCATGCTATGTGTACAGAAAAATGTTGTCAATACATTGATCGTTTTTTATTGGGCAGTGAAAAAAAAAATTCTGGCGGCTTTATACATATAAATTCATATTTTAAAGTGCGATTTCTACAAACCAGAAAATAAAATAAAATAAAATGAAAGCAGAATTTGGTAGACAGAGATGAGAGAACAATGAAAGAGAGAGAATCCCAACGCAAAAGAAAAGTTGATTTCAATAATGGCCATTCAACTTTGTATTTAATTTCACTCTGACCGTTAAACTTTAACTTGTCAAGTCATTGGAATGACAAAATTTTCCACCCCACTCCAACCTACCTCTCTCCCCCACCACGAACGGTAAACGGAGATGTGCGCCGAATTTCTCAAACCTATCCAAATTTTATTTTTACCTTGCCTTTTGAAAATTCTCAACAATACATAGACGGGAATGGCTGCCATCTCTACCAAGTCATAAGATTTAACTGAAAATTCTAATTTCTAATGGATTGATAACTTGGCATATAAAAATTTAGGTTCTCAGTTCCTTCTTGCTCTTAAAGAAGTCTGAAAAAATCTGCTACGGAACTATCGAGCATAGGTAGAAATATGATTTGTAGATACGTAATTTCAACTGTGATCAGATAACCAAAAATCAGACAACGACGGAATGGCATGTGATTGAGTGATAGATCGACTCGAAAATCTTGTCTTTTATTCTGGAAGGAGGTATTGTCGAGGTGCACAATATGGAAAGCAGTGAATGATGAGGGTGGTGTTTAAGACTAATATTTATTTTTGGAGTTTTAAACAATGGATGTTAAATTGAACCTCTAATTAATATGAAATTATTTTGTAAAGTTCAATGATAAATCTTGGAATTTAGTGATTAAAGTGACACTAAGCACAAAGTTCAGTGACTATCAGTAAAATTAACCCTACACCTATAACATGGTCATATATAGAGGGGAGAAGAGAGAGGAGAGAGAGACGGAAAATGTGTATATTATGAGGCACACACCAGAGGTGCGGTAAATTACACGCAAAAACACGCACAACCCAGATAGAAATTTCTTTTCCTTCCCAACCTCTGTACCCAATTCTTCTGATTCCACCCTTCTTCTCTCTCTAATATATCTACACACAACATATATATACATATCGGTGGGGCGGAGTGGGTATGTAGTATGAATACATATATAGCATTTGTATGTATATAATATCTTGGATCTCCAAATATGGCCTACTTTAATATGTTCTACACTTATTTCTTGATCTCGTCTTCACTGTACTGGTAAATTTCTTTATGTAACTCTCTGTTTGTATTGTGTATTTTTGTACCAAAAATAATTTAATGTATATGTTTCTGTAATTCTGTTGTTTTAAGCTACGTGCCCATTTCCCTAAACATTTGTTGTTTCTTCATATGTCTTACGTAAGATCTTAGGATTATGTTCAGCCAAACATGGTGTTGTTGCTAGTTGAATGTTGTTTTGTTTTTCTTTTTTGACTTTTCTTATGAGTAACTAGGTAAAAGTAAGAACTATATTGAATTAATTAATTAAATAATCTGGGTAAACGGTATCTTGGATTTTTTATAGTATTTGAACAACTTATTGTTGCTATCTGTAGAACTGTTGAGGCTGCTGAAATTTTTCATTTTTTTAACGTATTTTGATAGTACATTGATTTCTTGAACTGTAAACTATGAATCAGCATATTACAGTATCAAAAAATAAAATCTGCATTTTGTTATGGAATGATTTACTACGGAATCAGATTTGAGTATGAGGAGGACTAATGGGGAACTAAAATGGGTCGCGGGAGCCACTTTTATCCCTTTTGGACAGGTGGGCCATTTTCGTAGTCGTTTGTGTTGTAAAAATGTAGCTTCTTTTATAAGCAATTGTTGCTCGAAAAACGTTGGAACGTTTAATACGGAGTAGTGTATTGGCAATTGGCAATTGGATTGAAGTTGGAAAGCGAGGATCATTTTAGTGTGATGAAACATTGTAGTATTCTTGTTGTACAGAACAACATAGAAAAACGAAAATAATGACTAAAACATTAAAATAGCTTCTTTGCCGAATCAAATCTTGTTCAAACAATCGATGCATATTGTAGAATAATTCCGTTTCTTGTATTCTATCTTTTAACATTGATATGATAAAAGATGAGGATGCTGATCTTCGGGTGATATTTCATTGTAAACTTTTGCCCTCGTGGATTCAACTGCTTCCCCTCCTTCTCACTAGTGTTTTAGTATGAAATGCAGGTGCAATGGGGGGTTTTGAATGCAATCTGAATGATATACTTGGTGGGTTTGACTACTTTGAAACTTGAAGACGCATAATAGTCAACGAGCTAAGGGCATGATGTTGATAGGAGGTGATTACAATGTAAATTTGGTGCGAAGATATGATGGTTCTCTGCAAGAAGTTTTAAAACTGACAATGCTCAATCAGGAGGAAATTTTTAGAAAGCAGGTATTGCCATTACTGTATTATGAGTACATGATTCTTTCAGTTGGCTATGTTAACAACACGACACTGCACTGTCATGCTGGTGAAAGAACATTTGGACATTGTAGTTGAGTTTTACCGTAAAAATATTCGTGTTGAAAACTTAAAAATATTGAGATATTCATGCTTAATTGCTTATTCAGCGTATAAGAACAAATGTTGGACCATGTTTGATGAAATAATTGCCTTGCCTTTTGGTTAATTAGTAGTCTATTCATCTGTTTCTGATTTTATTCAGGTTCTTGAACTCCACCGGTTGTATCGTATGCAAAAAATGCTCATGAAGGAATTGGACTTGAAAATGGGAAGTGGGTTGAGTTACAGAAAAGTGAGCATAAATTCTTTTGTGGGACGTTTTCTTTTTGGTTCTTTATAAAATATGTGGGGTTTTCTTCCTTCACTTGTTCATGGTTATAAAATCTAATAAATGGAGGTTTTCATAGGTGAGCACAACTGAGTCGATGAAGAACAAGTGTTTACATGAGACTGGAAATTTATGCTTAAAACTCCGAAGGACGAGTCTAGATCTTGAACTACCCGCCAGTCACTACAATGACAATGTTGATGAAGACTTTCTGAGTGAACAGAATGTTTACAGTACTGCAAAAGGGTCTGTCAAAATGGAGCACGACTTTCATTATGAAACAGTATCTTCTATGGAGGAGCTTGAGCTCTCTCTGAGAATCAATGTGGACACTTGGCAAAAAGGTATTTGCAGGCAAACTTGGGAGGATAAGGGTTTTTGTCCACCTTCGCAATTTTTAATTGATTTGGAAGGATCGAACAAAACGTCATCCAATGGCAGAACAACGTTTTCGCCTAAGAAACTCTTTGATCAAGGTGAGGCTTCTGCAGGAGTCGATCAATGTCACAGGGACATCTCTGGCTATGATATGTTGGCCAGGGGAAAGCTATCTGCTTCTCATGAAGTGGGATTGTTGGACCTTAACCGAAGTCTACTGGACGAATCATCTTTTTACCCATTTGCTCTCGGAACGTCCTATCCATCAAAAAGTACCTTTTCGTGTGATTCACAGAGAACAGATGCGGAATATCATAATCCTTCTGCTCTTGATTGGAGAGAACCAAACTCTGATTACTGCAATGAGTCGTCCATGTTGCTTCGGCCAGATACAGAATTTCTGAACTTGGCAGCTTCAAAAAACAAAAATGATTGCCAACTTAATGGAGCAACTACATCATGCTATATAGGTCTTGAGTCCATTGGTGGGCATTCAATGAACACAGAACCAAAAAATGTAGACTTCGCAGCTATCTCGTCTGATGGAAATCAGAGTATCACACCTATCCCAGAGATGAATGGTGAGAAGACTAAAGAAGACACACCCTATTCACATTTGTACACAAGTCAAGAACCAGTTGAGGGCACAGATAGCAACAAATCTCCAGTCTCGTGCAAGTCTGATTGCATTGCTGAGGACAGTTCGAGCAATAGAAATACAACACAATGTGGTAGCACTACGAGAAAATCGAATTGTTCACCTACGAAGAATGCATTCCCAAATTCTGAATCATCTCGAGTCGCAAAGAAACTATTTCAGCATAATGTTGAATGTTCTAGTGATAGTAATTTGAAATCTAAGCTCTTTGATCAGGTAAAAGGAGAAGCTGCAGAGCATGATAAAACGGTAAAAAGGGGAGCTGTTTCTCTTGTTTATTTTTCCTTGCAATGTTTAGCCGGAGATCAAGATTGCATTCCCTGTGCCAAGAACGGAAAGAGGGATGTTCCACAATGTTCTTCCGAGTCTTATGAATCGCTTGTACTAAAGCAACCCGAGAGCAGCGTGGATGAATACTGCGTATCCTCAGCTGCTCCATTTGACATAAATGGCTTGGATCAAATGGATTATGCGAAGAAGTTGAAAAGAGGGAGGAGAATGAAAGATTTCCAGAAGGAGATTCTCCCGAGTTTGTCGTCACTTTCTCGACAGGAAATATGTGAAGATGTAAGAATTCTGCAAGGAGCTATTCGTTCGAGAGAATACAAGAAATATAGAGCCAAGAACAATAGCAGAGACGACTACCTTCCTCCTGGGAGAAGCAAAAGGCCAAGGGGTAGAAGATATTATTCATGAAACATTGCTTGATAGTTAGAAATGCCATTATACTTCTTTTAGCTTTATGAACCTATCTAATTGAGCATTCTTGATAATGAGACAATTTCTCATGAACCAATTGCTTTAATATGTAATTCATTTGACTAATCTGGCTGTTCACTGTCGGAAAAAATTTCTTGTAGTTGTACGAGTTTTCTTAGGTTTTTGCTTCGAGCAAGAAGCAAACATGTGGACCGTGTTGGGTTGGTCGATTTAGTTTTGTTTCCTACCTCGATTCACGTGAAATTAATGAAGTTTTTTTGTTTCATCTGAAAAGAATCATCAAGAGGTAAAAGTTCGTGAAATTTCTTGTAGCGAATGCTAAACAAAAGTTCAAGTTGAGCAAAATAGTTGAATTTAGATTGCCAGCATGTGCTTTCATTCTTGTGTTTTCCAACTTTAGGACCGATCGAGTAAAAAGATCCTCTACGGGATTACAGGCTAAACAAACTGGGCCTGAGTCTATGACCTAAATTAAATGAAATAAACAGGAGTCATGAATGTTTAAAGTATTTTTGTCCATGCAAAAAAGTGAAAAACTTTATTTAATTTATAATAAAGAAAATTTATATATAAGTTACCCGAAGGTGGATGAAAATATTTTTATTTCTCGTAATTCTAATTTATTTAGAATTGGTTATTTTCACGAAACTTGTTTAAATATTTGCATGCATGATAAAATAAACTTTATAGGTAGGTTTTCCTTGTATGTCTTGATGTATATTATTATGCAACAAAATTTGAACAAGATAAATTTAAGTCAATGTTTTGCTCACGTTTCTTAAAATTCATTCTTAACTATACATTTTATAGAATCTATACATTTTACAATTTTTTATCAAAATTTATATATATAAAAAGAAAAAAAAAACTATTTTTTATCCAAACTAAACAGTGGCTAAATAATATTCTATCAAATCGACCACTCGACCCTTTTAGAATCTATTAAGACTAAAATTTTCAAAGCATAGGTCTCGTTCTCGCTTCATGTGCAAAAATAATCTTTAGTATCACCATATAATAAATTTTATGCTTTTCTTTTAATTAGAAGAAGAAATTATGACGGAGAAACTCACTTGCGATTCAATTTAATTCAAATTTGTGATTAGAATATGGGATAATTGCAGTAGCGGTATCAAATATTCATTTAGTATTCAATTACTATCAAAATTATAAAAGTGCAAATTTGACAGCTTTACGATGGAATTTGGTCACAAAACTAGTGGATAGTTCTCGTTAATGACTCGTTGATTTTGATTTGAATTTGAATTTACTTTTTAAGCTAAACCAAACAGGGATTTAAGATGAAACATATCAAGTCGTTTCGCCTAGGATTCTCTTAAATTTCACGTCAAATTTAAAATATTCTTTATGATATCCACTAGTCATTTTATTCTTCCTTCAATCATTGGTTTCCACGAATCAGTAAATAATATGATGGACTAACATGTGATTTAGTGTTAATCAAATGAAAATTTGAGCAACATAATTGTTCATTCTTTCTCAACAACTACATATTTATATGGTAGGTCCCATATTTAATTGTCTCATTTATTATCATTTTAAAAAGAAGTTAATAGCATATCATACTCCAAACTGGGCCCACACTGATTACTATAATCCGTATACTTTCATAAAAATATAAATTATTTTGCTCCAAATTAAAATTTTGATTTTAATTTAAGTTAAAGTTAATAATTAATTTTAATCACATATATAATGAAATTCACAATTTTTCAACTGCACATTTCATCATTTTCTTATCAAAATTTGTTAAAAATCTAATTTTAATCATCTCCAAATAAGGGTTTAAGAATGTTTTGTAATGAGATATATCGAGTTTACATGTTAAAAGTTCGTGCTTAGGCTCAAATGACGCATTACAAATTGCAGGAGAGATGTGAAAAATTTAGTGATAGTGAACTTACGGTACCACTCGTTTTATTTTAAGATGTCAATATAATGCAAGCAAAATGGGTTGACATTCGGACACATAAAAGTTTCAAGAAAATCAAACACAAACGTATAAAAAAATCAATCTTTGGGAAACTATTAAAATTATTAAAAAGGATTTTTTTTTTCCCAATCAATCATGGTCCCTTTCTCAGAGGTTGTTTTGTCAAAGAATATTTTGACTTGTTACTGAAATTATGTTTCTTTTGCGTGAGTTACCTAACCAACAGCCTTCTTTCACAATCACACACAAAACACAAGGTCAAACACTACAGTTCTACGCACAAAAAGATTTAGCCCAATAGGTATTAAAATTTTAATTTAAATCGAAATCAATAATTAATTTTAACCAAATATTTCGTGAAATTCACAACGTTTCAATCACACGTTCATCAGACTTTATCAAAATCTATTGAAAATTTAATTTTAATCCTCACCAAACAGGGCTTGGTCAATATTTTGTTTAATTAAAAAAGTTAATAAAAATGTAAGTCAAAATCAAGATTTAATTTTTAATCATACATTTTTTGGGATTCACAACTTTATAAACTTTTCAACCATAGATTTCATCAACTTTTATAAAAATCTACAAAAAAAAAAAAAAAAAAACATGCTAATTATTATTAAAAATATTGTCAAATACTAATGTAATGTCTCAAAACTTCAAGCTAAGACTACCGAAACATCGTGGTTTCTTGTATTCTTTTTCATTACAATATGTACTCTCTGCTTATTTTTATCATTTTGAGAAAATTCGAGTAAGACTATTAAACACCTCAACCTCTAACACAAGAAATGTTCTAATAGTTTTTCTCCATTTTTGTATAAGATAGAGGTGGAGTCTCATATGAACAATACGTTAAGATGAGTAGACAACTGAATTTCTACTATAGGAAATGTCTTACTATTTTCACATATACAGTGATCTTTGACATATAGTATACGAGGTAATTCGATCTCTTGTGAGTAGATAAATAGACAACATAGGAAAAAGCCATAATTACATATGTTGACAGTCATACAACGTTAACGTGGTGATGCATAATTGGTCCTTTTTTTCTCTCTCTCCATCTTCCGGTGATTCCATGGAATGTTTTGTCAAAATTAGTTAAATGAGGTGGAAAGGGTTAGGTTTTGCCCATAGAAATATCAAGATTTTGAAAGCAACTTGAAATGTACCAAAGAAAAAGATGGCCATGTTATGTGCACACTAAACTAAGCAATCTTTCAAACATCACATTGAACCTTGGAAATGACTTTTAGCTTATTTACAGAAGTTGACAAACGGTTTAGTTTAACAGTTATTCGAACTTGATCAATATCCTTCGAACTTTTACAGTAGTGAACTCAACGAAATGCAATACACAATTGAAACTAATGTTTGAATTTGACTAAAAAAATATGAGTTTATGTTGGTTTAGGTTCGACATCCTTGGAACAGTGTTAGACGGGACCCAATACTTTTTATATTATCTTCAAATTATTACTCATAAGTACTACAACACTCGAAATCTATTTTATTGGTAAAAAAAAGTTTAACAAAAAGTAAAAAATGATAACAAGTACATGAAAAAACTCTCAAGTGAAATTTACTGTAGCTTCTTTTTGAGTTTTAACTCTCTTTAGAACAAATTATTTTAACTGATATTAATCATTTCATAAACAGAAGTAGATAAACCCAACGCCCTCTTGATTAGATATCCATTACTGTGTTTAAACAACAAAATCATGCTATCATGGACCAATGTTTCACCTCTTTAGACAATGACAAGATCAAAATCTATTTATTAAATTTTATTTATTTTTTTATGCAGATTGTACCTTTCATTCTTAATTGAAAGATACATAAGCAAATGCATAAATACAGCAGTCGGGACAAAATAATAATATTTGTGAATTTCTTTGACTGTGATGGGTTTGTATCATTCTCTCATTTTGTCACAATAATTTGTTTTTTGTTTCTATTCTTACTGTTGCTATTTGTTTAAACATTCACATCCAAGTCAAATAATTTCAATAGTCAAAACAAGACCAGTCGAAGAATCTATAATAAAAATTATACATTCGATGATCTACCACGACGATCTCAATACATCAAGATATCGAAATGTGCATCTTCCAATGACAGTCACATAGCAGAAACGAACTTGAAATTCCATCACCGCAAAAATAATGTTTTGAGTTTTTGTCTCGTTTCTTGTGCTAGCAAGTAATAAAGATAAAATTATCAAACCCTAACCAATGACTTAGTATTTACTAACCATTAGGATTAGTAAAGGCCTAACCTAATTGGACTGGAGTACTAATCAATTAAATTAGACTAATACGCAATTATTAAATCTACTCGACAATTGAGCCTATAACATCATACTTACTTTTTTTTTTAACACCTCTTCCACATTTATGAACTCGAAACATTGACGGAGAAAAAAAAGGTAATTAGTAAAATGAATAAAAGTTACTAAAAACATATTTTTTTGTTGAATGAGTATCTGACATGGAAACTATGTTGTTTGGTTGAATTATTCGACTTCGTAGACAAATAGAAATATTCGTATGTCAAGATTTAAGCAATATTTGGACGAAACATCCTTTGTTTGACATTGTTGGATTCATCAAGTACTTCACAAGTTTTGAATACTTATCATCTGGGTTATAACAAAAGAAAATAGAATAATAGTATCGTCCAAAAACATATGGACATAATTAATCAATAAAAATCATAAAATCAGTTCGTCTGGGAAGCTATGTCGGCATGCTGTATGTGTGCAAATGTGTGAATGTCATAGAATCGTCCAAATATCATAGGCATTTCCTACTTAAAGACGAATTCATGCGGCTAAACAGGTTACACGTCCCTTACTAGGAGGTGATAACATCCTGGATTTGGCAGCAAGAGTCGAGAATCAACATAGTCCCTTCACACGGTAAATGCTTGACACGAGTTTCGACCTGATCCAAGTTCCTTGAACCAAGGACGGTGGATTCCTCTAGGGTTGATTATGGTCAAGCTACCTACCAAAGTGACAGTTCAGCCATGAGGAAGGAGTCAAGCCTCCAGACTTCAAGTTGTGTGGACAATAGAGATTCGTAGGGAAATTGAATATATCATAACTAGAAGAAATAATTGATCTAAATTTTTTTTTTTTTTTTTCAAAATACATTTTGAAATATTATTTTGATTGAGAATATGTGGTTAAAAATTTGAATTTACGTATAATATTATTAAAAAAATGAGAGAAAAATATATATTTTAAAAATAACAAGGTTCAAAGTTCACTTGTAATGGTAAACTTTAGCCAAATATTCTTTCGTTGTACTTTAAGAAGGACCAAATAGATTTAACGTACAATTAAAGGGAGCCGCCTAATTACTTCTTTCAAGTACGGATTACAGCCTGCCCTTTTCATCAATTACTACTAGTAATTAGGGGTAAGATTATGTTCTTCTCTTTACCAATCTTCAATTTCATCTTTTGTACTTGAATTTTTACGAATTAACTGGTTGAGAAATATTTCAAATTAGAGTCTATTGATTTCATTTAAGGGATTCACGTCCCTACGAGATTAAGGGAAGAGTAACGACAGATAATGTGTTATAATTTATAATTGAATGAAAACTAAGCCGACATGAATAGTCAAAGTCCATTTGAATTCAAGTAGTTGCAACAAATGTGACCACTATCTGCTTGTGCGCACAAACTTAAATACAATTGATAAGAGAACATATTGTCTTAAATCCTACATCACAATCACTACCCAATTACAAATAACAATTTGTGCTATGCTAAAACAAACATAGATTCATAAATAGAAACTGACCAATTTGTCTACCACAGTGTCAAACAAAATGCCGGGAGTTTTTTAAAATTAGTTTTAAGTAAAGTTTTCCATTTTTAAAGTACGTAAAAATTAATTGTGGCGATAGTGTAAGAGCTTTAATGGACGCAACATTTTCCTCCTTTTTGAAGGCAAAACAACTCATTCATTCAAGCAAAGAAATAACAAACGAAAATGAGACAAGCGATGACAGTGTGAGAGCTCATCTCGACAACAACATTTCTTTCTGGGCAAACTAACTCATTTGTTCAAGAAAATCGCTACAAACAACCAACAAAACAAAAAAGTGGTTCACGAATCCGTCCACGTAATTGTCTAACGAAAGATGCTAATGAATATGCTACTTTATTTATGTTTCGAATCTTGAAATAAGGATACAATATTAAATAAAATGGTCGTATGCAGACTAAAAACTTAATTATTATTTGATCTCTATTATTTTTAAAATACATTTTTCTTTCTTTTATTTTTAATCACATATTTTTTAATAAAATAATATTATACGTAAATCCTCCATTTTGAGTTCCAAACAGTTACTTATAGATAAAGTACTTTTAATCCAATAGTTAGTGAACCAAATTCCAAAATATAATTTTTCAGATAGTGCCGAAAGAAACAAATAAACGCCAATATTTACCATGATCCTCTTGCTTATCGAGTAGATTTGCTTCTTTCTTGTGCAGAGCGCCCCAAACAACCCCTACTTTCTCTCTCTCTCTCTCACACACACACACACAGAGTCATACACTCATTCACTGCTACTCTGCCTATATATACGACTATATATCTCTACGCTTTCACTCACCTTCAGTTCCCTCTTTTTCATTCGGAGGGAGATTGAATAACAAGCCAAGGGCGAAGAGACTTCTGTGTTATTTCTGTGTTCTTGTTACAGCATAATGTCAGCTTGCAAAGAGGATGATCCACGTATCGACGGCATTCAATCGAGAATCCGCGTGGTTCCCAATTTCCCAAAGCCAGGTATTCACGCATACAGACTGTATACTTGTTTATATTCGTCGCTACACGTAAATGTTCAGCTGTGTTTGGTATCTTATTTTATGGGTTTTTAACAGGGATAATGTTTCAAGATATTACTACACTTTTACTCGATCCAAAGGCCTTCAAGGACACCATTGATTTGTTCGTTGAGAGATACAAAGGCAAAAACATTACTGCTGTCGCCGGTACACGTTCTTTCATTTTGTCTTGCTGTATTTAATACTACGAAAGTGGTCCCGTTTTATGTGTATTTTCGCACTGGAGTTGGATAGACTTCATTACTATTTTAACTAATGTATCACTCTACTCTACTTTTGTTTTTCTTTTCATTTTTTAATTTGAGTGGTGAGGATTACGATGGCTACGTGGATGTGTAGTAGACAGTAAATTTTTGGTTTGAATTTATATGGGGTTTATTGTTAGACTAAACAATTATTTGTCACAGTAATTTTTCTAACTGAGGTGTGTTATTGAATATGAACGGTTCATAGTAAAGAAGGGGGACAAGTTGCTGAAAAGCCATTTGGGAGATGGGTTAAATGGTGGTGGTTGTGGTTGTGGTTGTGGTTGTGGTGGTGGTGGTGGTGGTGTTGGTGATGGATGCTCGCACAATCCGCATTGTTGAAATAAGGGTGCGGGCCCATAGGCCGCAATGATGAGTTTTATTTTATTTCTTCTATTTTCTTATCAATTTTTAAACCGACTTTGGACAATTTACTGTACAATGTATTGATTTTAAGCCTCTCAACTTATGGTAAGAACAGGAAAACCTTTTAATATGTTATGATGATGGTGAATTATGACTTTGTCTGAGTGGCATTATGGTTTTTCTATTGAGCAATGATGATCAATAATTGCTGGAAAGATTGTTTATGGATGTCCAGACTCCACTATAAGTTGTATCTTCTTTGTCTCTTTCCACTGGCTATTTCTTTTATTATGTTATGCTATAGTTTGATCATTGATGGAACTTCAATATGTAAAATTTGTGAAAGTGGTAGTGAGGAGTGTATTTCCTCTTTCACCTTTACGATTTATTTAGGCTAAAGTTGTGGTATTGGAGTGAATCACTGAACTTTGAGTCTTACAATTGCAAGAAAAGCAAAAGAGCACTAGAAAATAAACAAAGTTACTTATCGATGATAAGCTAATTGTACTGTCAACTTTTCTTTGCCGATTTCGCATTTCAGCTTACTGTTAATAATGTTCGTATATGCTTATTATTCCGTCATTCTCACTTGCTCTGTAGACATTTTAAATTCTATAACGTGTGTGTGTGTGTATTTTCTTTTACTTCTTTTGTCGGTAGTAGGACCTTCTTCTCCATGTTCCTTGTAGATTAATTAATGCAGGTTGTTGGGTTCAGACTACGTCTACTCATTTTGTCCTCATGTGTTTTCAACATTTTTTAGTGTTAGTCAACATTTCAGTCGTTTTGGAATTTTTACTCAATAAACATGCAATCACTTAACAAAAGTGGCAGTTTCCTTAAGGTAAAAGTCCTAGCATCAGTTTATATACTCTTTATATTTGATACAACATCCTATGAGGCAGAACCATGAACTTAGTCTTGGTTAACACATTATGCAACAAAAGGCTGCATCGCTTGGCACTATGAATGATCTCAATGTTTCAATATCATCTTTGGTTGTAAATGATAAGGCTTAGATTGTTTGTGTTATTGCTTAATTGTTAGTTGCATGTTTTTGAGGATTTCTATTGCATTTCGATAGGTGTAACATTAGATCGTGAGATGTGTCAAATGTCTGTAAGATGATATACAACTATAAAGCTGCCAACTTTGGTGCCATTTTAGTAATATACTCCCAGTGTTTTGTCTTTGGAGGAAAATGGGTGTTCTACAGTTGGTATTTATTTGATGACTGTTGCTGTCTTAATTGTGCTCGTTAATTTTTGTCTTTGAATGTAGAAGGGCTCTCAATTACATGATGAAAGGATGTAAAGTCACCATCTAAGATGTTAACATATTAGTGTCTCTAACCTAGTTATAAATGTAATTTTGTTGTTCATGATTGCATTCTCCATATTGGTGGTGTTTTTACTATCTGATTCTCCTTTTAGTTTCTTTTTGTTCCATAATAATAACCAATGCACCCTTGCTTGAGGATTCCATGTAATTGTTGCACAAGTTATACTATACACATGGGAGGCTCATCTCTAGTTACTCTAACTTCATACATCAAGGCCTCAAGCTATGGTCTTGGTCTTGGAAACAGGTGTGAAGTGTGGGTATGTATAGCATGGTATTAATGCGTTTTATTGTTTTTCTTTATTTCTATGGTAAATATAATATGACCCCAGAAAATGCACAGTCTACTCTATTTTATAGCTAAAGAACAAATTAAATATCTCTTATGTACTTCCTAAATTTAGTAAGGATGCAAAATATATAGTAATTTCCCTATACTGCTATTTGGGTGTCAAGTGTTGGATAAGGATAATTCATGCATTTAAAAGAGTAGCATTTTTTCATGCATATTTTCCATCTCTGTAAATTTGTAAAATTCACAGATTCCACATATCCTGCTCTGCCTGTTTACATTCTTTAAAGTACAAGAGTAAAATGTAATTGCTCTGTTTCTGGCCAACTACTTATCATGGAGATACATGAAGAATTACTTGTCCAGTTAAAGTATAATCATGTAATATCAGTGTTTCACATAGTTTGCCTTTATAACACTCAGGAATAGAGGCCAGGGGCTTTATATTCGGTCCTCCCATTGCTTTGGCAATTGGAGCAAAGTTTGTTCCCTTGAGAAAGCCAAAGAAACTTCCTGGTACTTTCTCCCAATAGTGTATTTCTAATTTAAAATTGTTATTAGAATTTTATTTTATTTTTAACCTGAAATGCAGGATTATTTTCTTGTGCACCTATATGTTATTCAATTAATTAGGCAAAAAATCTCATCATCTTTGTATTATTTTTCAAAATACATTTTTCTCTCTATTATTTTCAACCACACATTTTTTAATAAAATAATATTACGCGTAAACTCAAAACTTTTATTTATTTTTTAACCACACATTCTTCATCAAGTCATTATTTCAAAATGCATTTTTGGTAAAAACTCGGGCTCAAACATGCTCTAAATCTTCTTCAGGTAAACCATATTGTTTGCTCATTTTCTTCTGCTTGGAATCCTGCCATTCTCAGTTGTGTCAATTTATATCAAATATTTTTTAAACCTTCCACATTGTTTATCCATTATATACATTCCACAATGCTGCCATTTTTCATTCAATTGATTTAGATCCATTTTTCAGGCCATCATTGTTATCTAACAGTTTCCTGATACACGGGCTCCAATTTTGTTGAGATTAATCTTTTTTCTCCTTTTTTGATGTTATATATTTTACATGTCGATGATGTTAAAAATATTGTCTTGCTATAAATTAAAAAAAAAAATTGTGCAAGGTTCTTATTTGGTTTTGATGAGTGGTTACTGTCTTATTTCAAATTCATTTATTCACAGGTAAAGTTTTTAGGGAAGAGTATGACTTGGAATATGGAAGTGACTGTCTTGAGATGCATGTTGGAGCAGTAGAATCTGGGGAGCGTGCATTGGTTGTTGATGATCTGATTGCTACTGGTGGCACTCTCTGTGCTGCCATGAACTTATTGGGTACTCTTCATTAATATTTATATTATGCAGGCTTTCCATAATCTGTACTTTTTCCCTTTTGTTTTATAAAGAATGTGATGCACCTATGGAAATGTTCTTTCACATAATGGTTGTGGGTTATTACGTTCTTCGTGTCTTCATTACTATGGGAATCTTTTCAAACCATATAATTAATGGTTACATTTTGTATATTTGTCTTCTTCCTTCATTTTTTTTTCAAGAATAATAATGTACATGTTGCCGGCTTGACTTGAAATTGTTGCTTCTCAGAACGTGCTGGAGCTGAAGTTGTAGAGTGTGCTTGTGTCATTGAAATACCAGATCTAAAGGTTTGTTTTTCTAATTTATTTTCCAATTTCCCAAAATCCTCTTGGTAAATGACTTTTTTAAGTTGGTCGTTTTTTAATTTTTTACTCCCATGTGTTTGACCATCACAACAAGATTCTGATCAAGGTTACTTTTCATGTGGTCATCTATTTGTTGTTCTTGTCTCTTTGACTTTTAGTACTTAAATATTTATGTAGGTTTAGTTATTTATGAAATATGGTGGGGACAAGTACTTTTAGATGACCTCATCAACTGACCTTCCAACTCATTAAATTTTTTTTCAGCAATTAAATAACGTGGTTGCGAAAAAGATTTGAAATTGGCGTTCTTTTATTCCATTCGTTCACCAAACAAGGTGCTGGTATTGGCCAACTTCTCACTGGCTTTTCTCTGAAGAAAGTTTTTAATCGTAATATGATTCTGCAGGGGATTTAATACAATTATAATATGTAGATCCTCTAAATGCAGTTGAGGGATGAGGGAAGTAAACAAAATGGTTTGGTCCAGGCTTCGCTTTTGAGTTAGCATCCTCTGTTAAATACTGAGCGCTAAAGATTGGTGACTCCTTTATTTACGAAACAATGTCAAATTTTTTCTTTGACATATAAGAATGACTTTAAACTCCCTCCTGTTATCCTATAGAGCACTAACGAGGATTAGTATATATTTGGTGTTGGATTTCTTAGATTGTTCTGATTTATATTTTTTTTCCTAATATTGAATCAAAAAAGGTGAAGGAAAATAATAAAGCACATGTTATATTTGTTAGTATTGAGATTATGGAGTAGATGATTTCTTGGATTGTTCTTGACTTCCATTCATATTCTAGCTACCCACCTTTTGTAAAGCACATGTTATATTAGTTAGTATTGAGATTATGGAGTAGATGATTTCTTGAGTTGTTCTTGACTTCCATTCATATTCTAGCTACCCACCTTTCTTCTAGCAATGCGATTGAGCCTATGTGCATGTTTGGGAAGTGATAAAATTAAATTAGGTGATTATAAGTTGTGAGTTTTACGAAATACGTGGATAAAAGGCGAAGTTGTTCTTGGGATCTCATTAGCTAGGCTAAGTTCTTTAGTATCTGCTCACTTTGGAGGGTAGCCAATAAGCTTCTACATATCAATTGAGGCATGTATTCTCATGTTTTGTTTCTATTTACCATGGATATCATTCGAACTTAATTTATCTCTTGATTCTCTCTCTGCGCACTTCTGAATGTTGTAGGGAAGCGATCGATTAAAAGGCAAGCCATTATTCGTTCTCGTGGAGTCTCAATAGAAGGGACAGACGACAATATGGACCTTTGTTGCTATACATTGGAAGGCCGTTTACAAGAGCTGCGTGCCCGGGAGTATTCTTTAACTTTAGCCCCTTCAGTTCTTTTACTAGTGGGATTTTACATAATTTAGACAGTTTATTTTCCGTGATAGTTTAGGAAATTATGCTAAATGGATTGTTAAAAATGTCTATCCCCTCATGGATAGACGATATTATCGACTCTTGGATGCTTTTGTTTTGTGGCATTCTAAAAGCCAGGAAATCTTTTTCGGTTGAATTTTTTTATTTTTTTTTCTCTATTTGGAAAATCTCGTTTAACTGTCTTGACTAATCGAGCTGATGGTTTTCTAAAACCTGGATTAGAGTTTAGTATTTATATTTTGCGATGTTGTGTAATATTGCATCAGAACTGCTGTTGCCTTGTAATTTTATGCATTGCTAGCAAGAGTAACACTACAGAGTATACAGATTAGGGCTGGGGAAGAATCAATTGAAATCGGCCAAACCAATCAATCCAACCCAAACCAACCGGTTTGAATTGGTTTTTTAGTTCAATTAGGTTTGGTTCAAATTAGGAAATCAAATTTTAGGTCGGTTTGGGTTGGATTATCTAATAAAACTAAATCAAATCCAACCCAATAAATTAAAAATATTAAAAAGAAAATTAGTACTTAAAATCAAAAATCCTCGTGTCTCTTTTGACTTGTCTCTCTGGTCTCTTATTGCTATTCGTGCCTCAATTTCTTGACTCGATTTTTTGACAAGATTTTTAACATTTATTTAGATTGATTCAATATGTTTTTATTTGATCATGATATAATCTATTTAACAGGTTTTACAATATATTTAATTTATAATGTTCTATTGGAATGAAACTTAATACTACGGACCATTGATCCAACTTCAATCGATTTAGGGTCCGTTTGATTGCAAAGTTGGAAAATGGGTGGAAAGAAAATGTTTTACAGGGAATTGATTTTCCTAGAAAATGTTTTATTGGGAATTGTAATTAATTGTGTTTGATTGGTATAATTTTCTATGGAAAATGTTGAAAGTTTTGTGTCTATTTGACTTCTTTTTTTATGGAATTTGTCCATTAAAGTGATAAATTTTTTTTTCTCTATTTGGAAAATCTCGTTTAACTGTCTTGACTAATCGAGCTGATGGTTTTCTAAAACCTGGATTAGAGTTTAGTATTTTTATTTTGCGATGTTGTGTAATATTGCATCAGAACTGCTGTTGCCTTGTAATTTTATGCATTGCTAGCAAGAGTAACACTAGAGTATACAGATTAGGGCTGGGGAAGAATCAATTCGAATCGGTCAAACCAATCAATCTAACCCAAACCAACCGGTTTGAATTGGTTTTTTAGTTCAATTAGGTTGGGTTCAAATTAGGAAATCAAATTTTAGGTCGGTTTGGGTTGGATTATCTAATAAAACTAAATCAAATCCAACCCAATAAATTAAAAATATTAAAAAGAAAATTAGTACTTAAAATAAAAAATCCTCGTGTCTCTTTTGCCTTGTCTCTCCAGTCTCTTATTGCTATTCGTGCCTCAATTTCTTGACTCGATTTTTTGACATGATTTTAACATGTATTTAGATTGATTTAATATGTTTTTATTTGATCATGATATAATCTATTTAACAGGTTTTACAATATATTTAATTTATAATGTTCTATTGGAATGAAACTTAATACTACGGACCATTGATCCAACTTCAATCGATTTAATGTATTTCAAATCACCATTTTTAATGCAACTGAATTCTGTCCAAATTGAAATAGTATCAGACTTTAAAAAAATTGTTCAGATTCAACCAAAAAGGTCACAATCATTGGGTCCATAAAAATTCTCCAACTTGAATTGGACTCAAGTCCAAACCAATCAACCCAACCCAATCCAAACCAACCCAAGTTTAATCGATTTGAATTGGGTTGGATTGAGTTTCAACCGTAAATGGGTTGGCTTCGGTTTGGGTTTAATTCAAAACCAATCCAACCCAACCAAACTCAAGCCTAACCCTAGCAGAGACTACCGAATGAGTCGGGTTGCCTTCCCATAGATCTGCACAACAACTTCGATGTGATTTGTGCGCAAGTCGAACTGGTCATTGACCACAATATCTATTTGTTATTGTGGCTCTAAAGACCTAGTTTGACATATTCTACAGCTTCGAAGACCATCTTGGTTCATTTTGGCGACTCTTCTTGACTGTCACTTTAAAACTTAAATCTGGCATTTGCAACAATATTTTGAGAGTAATATTATTTACCATCACAATGATGGAATATCTGGTGATGTGGCAATTTTTTTTTCACATTTCTCTCTTTCTCCCCCTCATTTTCTTAAGAAAATTGAATTGCTCAATTCAATTATTTCGTATAAATTGTCACATTATCGATATTTCATTATCATAAAAGCCATGTTCTAAAATGCGCGAAAATGAGCCGTCTATGCGCGATGCGGGTGGAAAATGCATCGAATTCGGGATATGCGGGAAAAATGCGTTTCTGTTTTAAAAAGGCGGCATAATCCCTTTTTTTTTTTGGTAAATTTTTTTTATGATATATTAAAAATTATATTTTTTATATAAAAATATATTTAATACCTTAAAAATAATTAAAATAATATTAAAAATACGAAATGCATTATGACGCTTATTCTTCGCATTGACATGCCTAAACTTGTGATTCTTGATTCTCGACCTCGACGCCTCGCAACGCATTACGCCTTTTAGAACATTGCATAAAAGTAATGTTATGTAACATCACTGAGGTTATAACTCCAGTTTAGGTGGCGGTAAATGAAAGGATAAATGAAATGTAGAATTAAATAACTTATTTAATTTCATTTATCATTTAGTGTTATATTAGCGTCATCTAAACTGTGATTATAACTTCAATGGAGTTAAATAGAATTTCTCTTATCATAATGATAAAAAACATTATTCATATATTTTTTTTTCTTTTAAAACTGTATTTTTATTACCTAATGGATGGGAGGAGATGGTGAAGATCCAACCTCCACCTTCTATGTAAAAACTTTCCGCCGGTGCCTGTGAAATTCTTAAATGAAAGTATATGAGACTCTTATTGAAGACTCTCATTAATTTCATAAAAAAAATATAAAAATTAACAAATTCTGCAAAAAATATCAAACGGTTAAGAAAGTCTTCCAAGTGTTTGTATGATAAAACTTCGTTAACAGGGACGTAGCTAGGATTTCAATCTTGTGGGGGCGAAAATACGAGGGGTGGAGGGTCCTGGGGGTTTCGCCCTCGAATTTTTTTTTAAAACTAAAATGATTGAAAACGACGATTTTGAGTACCAAAGTAGGCAAGTTAGATTAGCTGACCAAAAGACAATCAGTTTATCGATACAAAAATAATATATTCATCTATGTGTCTAACATTATACAAATTGAAAACATGAACGTTAGATGGACATTTTGTGCGCTGTGGGTATGCTTTTGGATAATTGATTTATAAATGAGTCATTTGCTTTTGGATTGGATTTGGGCTATTTATTTATTTAAGTAACTATTGGATCCTTTGTTGTGGAAATTACATAAAACCAGACCTTTAGTTTTACGTTTTAAAAAATCAGGTTTCAACTTTATTTATTCATTTTTCATATTTTTATCATTTTAATTAAACAATTAATCTTTTAATTAATTGACGCGCATATTCCGTTAATGGAGGGTTTCAAATTTGTTAATATCCTAACTTCCATTTTTATTCCATCCCTATTTTCTCTCACTCAAGCACTGTCTCATCTCCACCTTCTTCTCGCCCAATCTCCTCCATTTTTTTCAAAATCAACTGTGATAAATCTCCAATCTACACCTCCACTCCTCCGTTTTTTTCAATTAAAGTACCGAAACAAATAAAGCCTAAAACCCGAACAAAATTTGATTTGGAAGGAAAAAAATTGAAGAGCTATATTTTCCCCCCTTTCGTCACTTTTCTGGTTAAGGTTGGAAGAAGGAAGGGTCTGCTTCTTTGGAGGCTTTTGCAAATTCTTGCATATCAATTCTTAGATTTACTTGGATTTTTTTCATCTTACTTTTACCTTTTTTAAAGAGCAACGTCTAAGGTGGGTTCTTTTCCTAAAAAAATTTATTTTCTCAAAGGGTTCTCAGTATCTTATGGTCCACGTATTTATAAGCAAATGCCTTTGGAATAGATTATGCGTTGAAGATAACTTTCTTCATAGATCTGTTTGTAGAGTGATTTAAATGAATAGGTGGTGTAAAAAGAGTTATGGTGGAATTGATATCAAATTGTTTTAGT